CTCCACGCCTCTTGCCAAGACCCTCGCATTTACTTCTCTTACAACCCCATCTATAAATATATTAAACAACCCCGGTGACATCACACATCCTTGTCTAAGGCCTACTTTTACTGGAAAAAATTTCCCTCTTTCCTACATACTCTAACTTGAGCCTCACTATCCTCGTAAAAACTCTTCACTGCTTTCAGTAACCTACCTCCTACACCATACACTTGCAACATCTGCCACATTGCCCCCCTATCCACCCTGTCATACGCCTTTTCCAAATCCATAAATGCCACAAAGACCTCTTTAGCCTTATCTAAATACTGTTCACTTATATGTTTCACTGTAAACACCTGGTCCACACACCCCCTACCTTTCCTAAAGCCTCCTTGTTCATCTGCTATCCTATTCTCCGTCTTACTCTTAATTCTTTCAATTATAACTCTACCATACACTTTACCAGGTACACTCAACAGACTTATCCCCCTATAATTTTTGCACTCTCTTTTATCCCCTTTGCCTTTATACAAAGGAACTATGCATGCTCTCTGCCAATCCCTAGGTACCTTACCCTCTTCCATACATTTATTAAACAATTGCACCAACCACTCCAAAACTATATCCCCACCTGCTTTTAACATTTCTATCTTTATCCCATCAATCCCGGCTGCCTTACCCCCTTTCATTTTACCTACTGCCTCACGAACTTCCCCCACACTCACAACTGGCTCTTCCTCACTCCTACAAGATGTTATTCCTCCTTGCCCTATACACGAAATCACAGCTTCCCTATCTTCATCAACATTTAACAATTCCTCAAAATATTCCCTCCATCTTCCCAATACCTCTAACTCTCCATTTAATAACTCTCCTCTCCTATTTTTAACTGACAAATCCATTTGTTCTCTAGGCTTTCTTAACTTGTTAATCTCACTCCAAAACTTTTTCTTATTTTCAACAAAATTTGTTGATAACATCTCACCCACTCTCTCATTTGCTCTCTTTTTACATTGCTTCACCACTCTCTTAACCTCTCTCTTTTTCTCCATATACTCTTCCCTCCTTGCATCACTTCTACTTTGTAAAAACTTCTCATATGCTAACTTTTTCTCCCTTACTACTCTCTTTACATCATCATTCCACCAATCGCTCCTCTTCCCTCCTGCACCCACTTTCCTGTAACCACAAACTTCTGCTGAACACTCTAACACTACATTTTTAAACCTACCCCATACCTCTTCGACCCCATTGCCTATGCTCTCATTAGCCCATCTATCCTCCAATAGCTGTTTATATCTTACCCTAACTGCCTCCTCTTTTAGTTTATAAACCTTCACCTCTCTCTTCCCTGATGCTTCTATTCTCCTTGTATCCCATCTACCTTTTACTCTCAGTGTAGCTACAACTAGAAAGTGATCTGATATATCTGTGGCCCCTCTATAAACATGTACATCCTGAAGTCTACTCAACAGTCTTTTATCTACCAATACATAATCCAACAAACTACTGTCATTTCGCCCTACATCATATCGTGTATACTTATTTATCCTCTTTTTCTTAAAATATGTATTACCTATAACTAAACCCCTTTCTATACAAAGTTCAATCAAAGGGCTCCCATTATCATTTACACCTGGCACCCCAAACTTACCTACCACACCCTCTCTAAAAGTTTCTCCTACTTTAGCATTCAAGTCCCCTACCACAATTACTCTCTCACTTGGTTCAAAGGCTCCTATACATTCACTTAACATCTCCCAAAATCTCTCTCTCTCCTCTGCATTCCTCTCTTCTCCAGGTGCATACACGCTTATTATGACCCACTTCTCGCATCCAACCTTTACTTTAATCCACATAATTCTTGAATTTACACATTCATATTCTCTTTTCTCCTTCCATAACTGATCATCCATGCCACAACAAAGCTTACACTTAATAAGTCTCTAAACATTATCAAATATATGTCCAGTGAGTTTCCAGGTCAGACATTGAAGTGTGGAAAAATCACAATAATTTAGCTAAGTCTTTATTGTTGGCAGTATGGCAACTTACAAAAGTTGCCCTGGCACTTCTCAAATCTTTCAGGCCAATAATCTGCTAAAGGCATACATATTTATGATGCCTACCATACATATCCTCAAACTATCTCAGTCTATCAAGCTCTTTGTGATATGATAAGAATAACAGCATTATTTTAGGTAGTAGGCTGGTAGACAGGAAACACCCAGGGAGGTACTACTACCATACTGCCAAATGCATATGAAACAGAAACCTGTAATTGTTTTATACAATGGAAGAATTGCTGATGTCTTTTCTTTCTGTCTCATAAACACACAAGAAAACAGGTACGTCTTTCTATTTCTACTTACACTTAGGCACACTGCATATACATGTACATGTATATGCATACACACCCATCTGAGTTTTCTTCTATTTTCTAAGTAGTTCTTGTTCCTATCTATTTTTTTTTTCATCTCCATGGGGAAGTGGAAAATAATCTTTCATCCACAAGCCATGCATGTTATAAGAGGTGGCTAAAATGCCAAGAGCAATGGCCTGGTAACCCCTTCTCCTGTATATATTACTATATTTAAAAGGAGAAGCTTTTGTTTTTTCTTTTGGGCCACCCCGCCTTAATGAGATACGGCCAGTGTTTACCTGGAGAGAGTTCTGGGGGTCAATGCCCCCGCGGCCCGGTCTGTGACCAGGCCTCCTGGTGGATCAGAGCCTGATCAACCAGGCTGTTGCTGCTGGCTGCACGCAAACCAATGTACGAGCCACAGCCCGGCTGGTCAGGAACTGATTTTAGGTGCTTGTCCAGTGCCAGCTTGAAGACTGCCAGGGGTCTGTTGGCAATCCCCCTTATGTATGCTGGGAGGCAGTTGAACAGTCTCGGGCCCCTGACACTTATTGTATGGTCTCTTAACGTGCTAGTGACACCCCTGCTTTTCATTGGGGGGATGTTGCATCGTCTGCCGAGTCTTTTGCTTTCGTAGTGAGTGATTTTTGTGTGCAAGTTCGGTACTAGTCCCTCTAGGATTTTCCAGGTGTATATAATCATGTATCTCTCCCGCCTGCGTTCCAGGGAATACAGGTTCAGGAACTTTAAGCGCTCCCAGTAATTGAGGTGTTTTATCTCCGTTATGCGTGCCGTGAAGGTTCTCTGTACATTTTCTAGGTCAGCAATTTCACCTGCCTTGAAAGGTGCTGTTAGTGTGCAGCAATATTCCAGCCTAGATAGAACAAGTGACCTGAAGAGTGTCATCATGGGCTTGGCCTCCCTAGTTTTGAAGGTTCTCATTATCCATCCTGTCATTTTTCTAGCAGATGCGATTGATACAATGTTATGGTCCTTGAAGGTGAGATCCTCCGACATGATCACTCCCAGGTCTTTGACGTTGGTGTTTCGCTCTATTTTGTGGCCAGAATTTGTTTTGTACTCTGATGAAGATTTAATTTCCTCGTGTTTACCATATCTGAGTAATTGAAATTTCTCATCGTTGAACTTCATATTGTTTTCTGCAGCCCATTGAAAGATTCGGTTGATGTCCGCCTGGAGCCTTGCAGTGTCTGCAATGGAAGACACTGTCATGCAGATTCGGGTGTCATCTGCAAAGGAAGACATGGTGCTGTGGCTGACATCCTTGTCTATGTTGGATATGAGGATGAGGAACAAGATGGGAGCAAGTACTGTGCCTTGTGGAACAGAGCTTTTCACCGTAGCTGCCTTGGACTTTACTCTGTTGACGACTACTCTCTGTGTTCTGTTAGTGAGGAAATTATAGATCCATCGACCGACTTTTCCTGTTATTCCTTTAGCACGCATTTTGTGCGCTATTATGCCATGGTCACACTTGTCGAAGGCTTTTGCAAAGTCTGTATATATTACATCTGCATTCTTTTTGTCTTCTAGTGCATTTAGGACCTTGTCGTAGTGATCCAATAGTTGAGACAGACAGGAGCGACCTGTTCTAAACCCATGTTGCCCTGGGTTGTGTAACTGATGGGATTCTAGATGGGTGGTGATCTTGCTTCTTAGGACCCTTTCAAAGATTTTTATGATATGGGATGTTAGTGCTATTGGTCTGTAGTTCTTTGCTGTTCTTTGTGTTGAAAGAAGAAGAAAAACTTTGTTTTTATGACTTGTCATGCTGTTGGAGTGTGAGCAATGTAACATTTATGAAGGGATTTAGGGAAACCAGTTAGCCAGATCCAAGTCATAGAGGTGGGAAGTACAGTGCCTACATTCTGAAGGAAGGGTGGGGATATATCCTGCAAATTTTGAACTTTTGTGTCAGCATGTCTCTGGCAAGACAGTGATTTAGTTAAGGATGATGAAAGTTTCTTCTTTTTCAGGTCAACTTGTCTTGGTGGGAAATGGCTGTGTTAATAAAAAAAAATAATAAATAGCATTATCTATCCATGGGAAAGTGGAAAAAATCTTTCCTCCATAAGCCATATGTGTTACAAGAGGAGACTAAAATGCTGGGAGCAAGTAACCCTTTCTCCTGCATACATTACTAAATGTAAAAAAAAAAAAAAAAAAAAAAAAAAAAAAAAAAAAAAAAATTGGTGAAATAATTTCTTTTTCTCGGGTCACCCTGCCACCCACCGAGGCAGGGTGACAGTCGATGTGTTGAAAGAATTTTTTTTTTTCGAGTCACCCTGCCTCTATGGGAGGCAGGGTGACAGTCGATGTGTTAAAAAAAAAGAAAGCATTATCTGCATATAAGAAGTGTAGGACCCTAATTTGTAGTCCAGCATATCTCTTATCTCTTAAGAATTGTGGGAATCATTGCCTCTTATAGCCAATCTCAAACCAAGTCTCTAAATAAGAAAGTAATTATAATAGCAAGGAAAAACTATAAAGAAGTACAGCGAGAAGAAAAATAAAAGCTGAATGTTAAGAGAAGTTTGTAAGATGTATCTGCTGTCCAATATGTTCAGAAGATGGAGAGCAAACACCAGCAACTCTGCAAAATGTTAAACATGTTTCCTCAAAAACTTTACAAAAAAAAAAAATCATTTATACTAACGACAGTTCATCTGTGTCTGCCATCTTTGTATAGGGTAGGATGGCTACAACTTTGCGAAGGTCGTTGACAGGCTCTGGGGGTGGTACAGGATGAACCAATCTCTCACGCTTGAGCAAATCTGACATGCTCGTGTAGTAGCCAACCAGATCACTGAGGGCATTAAACTGCCGACCTCCAATGTAGAAGTCTCCACACACTGCCGTGATCCTGTGATAAACAAGTCATACATTATGTGCATGAAAAATATAGTAAGAAATAAGGACTATTAGATCAGCCAAGATACATTATAGAAGATTCCTGATTAACATGATCTACCATGCTCTATTTTCATTAATGAATACAGTCTAAAGTTAATTAATAACGAATTATTATTCTTGATTTCTATTTATATGATTCAGTATTTTATTAAAGCACTAATACAGGCTTTCCTCAGTGAGCGACGTACTCATTTACCGATGACTTGGACTTACAACGGGCTCTACGACCAGTATGCACACCTAAATAATGTATATTAGAGCTGATTTCCTCTATTCTGTTTATTACAATATACAGAACACTACTGTATAAACATTTAAAAATATACTAAAAATGCTATAAATGGTGCAAAGGTGACATTAACCCCTTGACTGTCACAACCCCAAATCCTGAGGTGTCTCCTGGTGTTGCAAAATTTCCAAAAAAAAAAAATCATGAAATGATAAAGAATCTTTTTCCCAATTGTAATGACACCAAAAGAATGAAATTTGATGGAAAACTAACAGAATTACGCTCTCGCAAAGTTAGTGACCTTGGCAATATTTACAAATCGGCGATTTCGCCCACTTTGAGCCCTATTTTCGGCTAATTCCATTGTTCCATTGCTCATAGCTATTTCTTTAGAACTCCATTTTTTCTATCGACTGAGTGCAAGAAACTGCCAATTTACCGATTTCAACTACCCAATAACGTGGTTAGAAATTTGCAATTTGGCCAATTTCACGAAAATTAAAAAATATGACAATTTCAAAATAGGGTCCAGAATGAACAATACAGACATTCCTGGCTCTAAAATAACATTTTCTTTGTTCATCAGTCATGTCTCCAGGCCCCTCTGATATTACTCTTGCTTTCTATTTTGAATTTTTATTCAAACAAAAAATTGAAGATTTACTGTTATGCAGACTACTGCAATATTGTAATAATTGTATAAATAATGTCAACCCATTCATGACTGCATATTGGAATGGCTAGTTGGACATTTATTGGACAATGACATCATTTGTTTACTTTTGAACATTGGCAAAAATCAAATATTTCCCCTAATTTGAGTTCCATTTCAAGGTTCTTTTCATGGTAAAACCAATGAAAATCACCTTTATTTCTATAAAATGTTTTCCGTTCTATCAAATGAGACCAAGAAAACGAGAATACAACCATAATTACTATACAAAAATAGACCGCAAATTCGGCATTTTAATTAAAAAAAAAACGGTCCGAGTTTTTTTTCTCATTATGCACTGCGTGCTGCAGGATTTTTTTACATGATGCACACTGACCACACAGACCCATTCTCTCACATGTGGGCCTACCAGCTTTCTCCTGCTTGATTTGAAGCTGCTAGAATTTATGAGTATACGTACATCAAAAACGGTGGTTTGTAAGACGTATATATACAACCGAAACAGTCAAAGGGTTAAAAGTAATGTCAAAGATGGTTGACACATGATCACTATCATTATAGTATGTTCCTTACTTAGCTACGAATTCGTTTACCGACATGGTCTGAGGAACGGAACTCCGTCGTTAAGTGAGTACGTAGAGGCTGTATTATATCGTCATAAATATAGAAATCACTTCAGTAAATAATGTAAGTCATTGCTTCTTATTCACACTACTCCATATTTGCTGATTTTATGCATTCTTCATTTTTATTAAAAGAATTTTGAAAGAATATTTACAGTGACCAATCTGTCTTGGCTCAGCAAATTGAAAAACATGTCAGGAAGTTCATTTCAAATGTGCTAACAGGATTCCCTATACCTAGATCACCCTAGTTTTTTTTTTTAAATATTGAAGTAAAAGGCACATTAAAGAAACATGACCTCAGAAACATGCACTGATCCCCAAATCAAAAAAAATTTATTATAAGGACAGAACTTAACGTTCTTTACAGTGTCTGGACTTATGGGGACCTCTGAAAATATATTTCTCATGCATTTACAGTGTCTGGATTTATGGGGACTTCTGAAAATATAATTCTCATGCATTTATAGTGTCTGGACTTATGGAGAGCTCTGAAAACATAATTGTCATGCATTTACAGTGTCTGGACTTATGGGGACTTCTGAAAATATAATTGTCATATATTTAGTGTTCTTTACAGTGTCTGGATCTATGGGGATCCCTGAAAATATTACCCCTATGAATGTGCAAGTGGCAATGTACATGCACAGCTGAAACACAAACAAAACACAGCCTCTTCACAAACATAATGCATTTAAAAGCAACTGTCTTGCAATTAAAAAAAAAAAAGGCAGGATGACAGAGTTACCGGAAATATTAAGATAAAATAATATATACACGGTTATCCAGGTCTTACTTGAAGTGTGAGACTCCTGAACGCCCCAGATAGGAGAGAACATATGAGCCTGGGCGGCGGTCAGACTCCCGCACCAGGTAGCTCCCAAGCTTACCAAACTGCCGCAGTCTCTCTTCACTTTGAGCTCGGTCCAGCCGTCCATGATACCAACTGTAACACAAATTATTGTTATTAAGGATTCAAAGAGCAAAAAGACACAATACACAAATAACTGCACCTATAGACAGAAGCTTACGAAGACATTGTGGTCTGACTTAGACTACAGACGATGACTTGAAACGTCTTCATAAGTTTCTTTCTCCTACGTGCAGGTTACCTGTGTATTAAAGATTCAAATTCAAAACTTACTTCCACATGACATATTGTTTGTACAGAAATGGGTAACACTTGATAATACATGAAGATAGCTCATGGTTATGCAGTGCATTTCAGGCAAGCTTGAGCCTAACGTAAGACTACAAGGGCAATAAATATTATACATGTATATATGCATATAAGGACATTAATAGAATTGATTCAATGAATATATAATGAATATATGTATATGTGTATATATACATGCATATATATACAGTGGTACCTTGGCTAAGGAGTTTTCCAAGTTATGAGCTATCACTCGGTCGATTTTTTGCTTTGAGTTGTGAGCCAAAATCTGAGTTACAAGCAAGCTTCAGATATGCCACCACTAGCTGGAAGTTTATCTGAAGTCAAATCCAATTCTGTACCCAGAGGAATGTCAGATACTTCATTCCATCTCACATCTCACATGGAAGGATAATACTCGCACACTAATCCCAGATGGTAGTGAGGCACCTCTTCCCTTGTCTGGTTCTCCTATAAATCCGAGGAAGAGGTAACCTCCATTTCAACACTCAGAGTTTTTCCAGAAACATTATGGAAGGCCGCCGTAATATTTACCTGCCTCACAGAGGTTCCTTCAGTGGGTGGAGTACTGCTAGTGGTGGGTGGAGTAGAGATGGTGATGCCTATCTTTTCAACCCTCCACCTCAGTCAGCATCTTCTGCTAGCACAAGTTGTCTGATCTCCAAGGTAAATATGTATATATATACATACAGTGGACCCACGCCTTATGATATTAATCCGTTCCTGAGAGCCCATCGTAAGCCAAAATTATCGTTAGCCAAATTAATTTTCCCCATAAGAAATAGTGGAAATCAAATTAATCTGTTCCTGACACCCCAAAGTATGAAAAAAAAAAAAAAAATTACCACATGAAATATTAATTTTAATACACACAAACTGAAGAAGACATGCACAATTACTACTCTACTAAGAATAGAATACATGACACTTGCCTTTATTGAAAATCTGGTGATGACTGATGGGATGGGAGGAGGGGAGAGTGTGGAAGTTATTGTTTAGAAGGGGAATCCCCTTCCATTAGGACTTGACGTAGCAAGTCCTTTTCCAGGGTTACTTCCCTTCTTCTTTTAATGCCACTAGGACCAGCTTCAGTCACTGAACCTCTGTCGCACAACAAATCTGTCCATAGAGCTCTGTACCTCCCGTTCCTTTAAGACTTTCCTAAAATGGGCCATAACATTGTTATTGTACAGGTTGCCAACACGGCTTGCAGTAGCTGCATCAGGGTGATTTTCATCCGTAAAGGTTTGCAGTTCAACCCACCTTGCACACATTTCCTTAATCTCTTTTTTCCATTCCATACTAATTCTCACCCTTTTTACCACAGGGATGGCACTAGAAGCTTTCTTGGGGTCCATGGTGACTTATTTTGCAGTTACAAGCACTAAAAACACTGGGATAATGTGAAATGTACCGAATGTATGCGTAGATGCAACCTCACTGGCTGGCTTGTAAACATTGGCGCTGAGGCCACACATGGGACACGTCCCGGACGAATCATGTAAGGCGAGTTTTTTATAGTGAGGCGAGGCAAAATTTTTGCATTCAAATGCTTTGTATGGCGGATTTAACATAACGCGATGCGTTCGTAAGGCGGGGGTCCACTGTATATATATGTCAAAAACAGTGGCTCATAAGACATATATATATGACCAAAACAGTCAAAGGGTTAAAGCCAGCAAAGGTTGGTTTGAGAGATTTAAGAATCGTAGTGGCATACACAGTGTTCAATTGTGACAAAACAGGCCTGTTTTGGAAGAAAATACCAAACAGGACCAACATTACTCAGGAGGAAAAGGCACTCCAAGGACACAAGCCTATGAAAGACAGGTTAACTCTCATATTTTGTAGTAATGCTAGTGGGGATTGCAAAGTGAAACCTTTACTGGTGTATCACTCTGAAACTGCCAGAGTGTTCAAGAAAAACAGTGTCATCAAACCTAATTTGTGTGTGATATGGAGGGCAAACAGTAAGGTATGGGTCACTGGGGACACTGGATTCCACAACTGGCATACGCTTCTCAAGGTTAGCCCCAAACCCTTCAAAATCCTTTTCTTCTGCACATTGTGGCCACAGTTTCTTCCAAGCAGAGTTCAAGGTCCTCTTAGTCACTCCCTCCCAAGCCTTACCTATAAAATTTACACAACTGAGGATATTAAAGTGATCTTTCCAAAACTCTCTTGGAGTCATCGAGTGTCTGAGGTCACTTCAAAGCACTTTTGAAACATAGCTTTTGTGTAGAGCTTTTTGAAGTTAGAAATGACCTGCTGGTCCATGGGCTGCAGGAGAGGAGTGGTATTAGGAGGCAAAAACTTGACCTTAATGAAGCTCATGTCCCCAGAAAGTCACTCTGCCAAGTCTGAAGGATGACCAGGAGCATTGTCTAATACCAGGAGGCACTTAAGATCCAATTTCTTTTCCATTAGATAATTTTTCACAGTGGGGGCAAATGCATGGTGTAACCAGTCATAGAAAAAGTCCCTAGTGATCCATGTCTTACTGTTTGCCCTCCACAGCACACACAAATTAGCATTGACGACATTGTTTTGCCTGAACGCTCTGGGAAGTTTCAGAGTGACACACCAATAAAGGCTTCACTTTGTAATCACCACTAGCATTAGCACACATCAAAAGAGTAAGCCTGTCTTTCACAGGCTTATGTCCTGGGAGTGCCTTTTCCTCCTGAGTAATGTAGGTCCTGCTTAGCATTTTCTTCCAAAACAGGCCTGTTTCGTCGCAATTAAACACTTGTTCAGGTTTCAATTCTTCACTGTCTATGTATTCCTTGAATTCCTTCACACATTTTTCAGCCGCTTTTTGGTCCGAACTGGCAGCCTCACCATGCCTTATCACACTATGCCACTACGATTCTTAAATCTCTCAAACCAACCTTTGCTGGCCTTAAATTCACTCACATCACCACTAGTTGCAGGCATTTTTCTAATTAAATCATCATGCAACTTCCTAGCCTTTTCACATACAATCGCTTGAGAGATGCTATCTCCTGCTATCTGTTTTTCGTTTATCCACACCAATAACAGTCTCTCTCAACATCTTCTATCACTTGCGATCTCTGTTTCAAAAGCAAACTTGTACCTTTTGCAAGAACAGCTTCCTTGATTGCCATTTTGTTGGTCAAGATAGTAGCAATGGTTGATTGGGGTTTGGTATACAACCTGGCCAGCTCCGAGACATGCACTCCACTTTCGTACTTAGCAATTATCTCTTTCTTCATTTCCCTAGTAATTTTTACCCTTTTTACCACAGGGTTGCACTAGAAGCTTTCTTGGGGCCCATGGTGACTTATTTTGCAGTTACAAGCACTAAAAACACTGTGATAATATGAAATGTACAGAATGTATGCTTAGATGCGACTTCACTGGCTGGCTGGTAAACACTGGCACCCACGGGGCAGCTGAGGCCATACGTGGGACGTGTCCCGGACGAATCACGTAAGGTGAGTTTTTTATCGTGAGGCAAGGCAAAATTTTTGTGTTCAAATGCTTCGTATGGCAGATTTAACGTAACTCGATGTGTTTGTAAGGTGGGGGTCCACTGTATACAGTGGACCCCCGACATTCAATGGCAACGACATTTGAGAAATCCGACATTCGATGCATTTTAACGAAAAAATTTTGCCTCGACATTCAATGGCAAACCCGACATTCGATACGATTCGTACGAGATGTGTCCACATGTGGCCTGAACAGCCCCGTGTATGCCAGTGTTTACAAGCCAGCCAGTGTGCGCACATCTAAAGATACATTCGGTACATTCCATATTATCACTGTTTTTGGTGCTCGTTTCTGCAAAATAAATTAACATGGGCCCCAAGAAAGCTTCTAGTGCCAAGCCTTCGAGAAAAAAGGTACTAATGACTATTGAAATGAACAAAGAGTTAATTGCAAAGTACGAAAGTGGAGTGCGTGTGTCGGAGCTGGCCAGGTTGTATAGTAAACCCCAATCAGCCATCTCTACTATAGTGAGCAGGAAAACGGCAATCAAGGAAGCTGTTGTTGCAAAAGGTGCAACTTTGTTTTCGAAACAGAGATCGCTAGTGTTAGAAGATGTTGAGAGACTGTTATTGGTGTGGATAAATGAAAAACAGATAGCAGGAGATAGCATCTCTCAAGAGATCATTTGTGAAAAGGCTAGGCAGTTGCATGATGATTTGGTAAAGAAATTGCCTGCAACTAGTGATGATGTGAGTGAATTTAAGGCCAGCAAAGGTTGGTTTGAAAGATTTAAGAATCGTAGTGACATACACAGTGTGGTAAGACATGGTGACGCTACCAGTTCGGACCACAAAGTGGCTGAAAAATATGTGCATGAATTCAAGGAGTACATAGAGGCTGAAGGATTGAAACCTGAACAAGTGTTTAACCCTTAACTGGTCCAAACGTATATATACGTTCACTCGCGTAGTGCCCCAAATTTTTTGAGAAAAAAAAGAACTTTTTTTTTTTAAAGGAAAAAAGAGCATACGGTACCCAGGCATCCCCAATTATTTTAATATGGCGCACAGTGAGTGCGCACATCCATTCTCTCATGTCTAGGTGACTCAGGCTTATCGTGGCAATGTTGAATGAATGACAAAGAAAACGTATATATACGTTTGGGGTGCTACGCTCGTGAACGTATATATACGTTTGGACCATTTAAGGGTTAATTGTGACGAAACAGGCCTGTTTTGGAAGAAATTGCCAAGCAGGACCTACATTACTCAGGAGGAAAAGGCACTCCCAGGACATAAGCCTATGAAAGACAGGCTTACTCTTCTGATGTGTGCCAATGCTAGTGGTGATTGCAAAGTGAAGCCTTTATTGGTGTATCACTCAGAAACTACCAGAGCGTTCAG